ACCTTTTATCGTACATATCAAAACTTTTTGACCCGCTATCACCACTATCAACTAAGTTAAAAATTATTTTTCAACAAGTGTGGGCTGCAGATAACATTAACTGGGATGATCCTATACCGAATGAAGTATATGTCGAGTGGAAGAAGGTCAGAGAGGACATGCAAAATATTCAGTTACCCCGATGGCTGCAGATCTATGAGTGCGACAGTATCGAGCTACATGGGTTCAGAGACTCGTCTGTCAGAGCCTATGGATGTTGATCTATTGTCGTATCAACAAAGGCAATAAATCATCTGTAGTGTTGGTGGCCGGCAGAGCCAGGCTTGTACCAACCAGCAAGACAGTCTCGTTACCGCGGTTGGAACTGAGCGGAGCACTACTCCTCTCAAAGCTAATGAGTAAAGTCGCAGAGTGCCTTAATGGGTACAATATCAAAATATATGGTTGGACTGACTCCATGGTAGAACTGGGGTGGCTCAACGGAGAACCAACCAGATGGAAAACATTTGTGGCAAATAGAGTTCGTATAATAACAGAAAATATGCCACCTGACTGCTGGAGGTACGTTAAGTCGGAAGAAAACCCAGCCGACTGTGCCAGTCGTGGTCTAACTGCATCACAACTCAAAGCCCAGACCTTGTGGTGGCTGGGCCCGACTTGGCTATCAACATATAATGACCAAGGGCATAAGATCGCTTATACAACAAACGAAGAATTAAAACTATCAAAAACAATTTTAGTAGCACAACATCAACCTGATTTTATCATTCAGAAATCCTATCAAAATATAGCACAATTAACAAAGCGGTAAGAATAGTTGCATGGATTCGGAGATTTTTAACTATCAAAAAAGGACAAAATATAAAATATCTAACAGTACGAGAGTTGAAGGAAGCTAAGTTATTAATTATCAAAAATATACCACGAACGGGATTTGCAAGAGAGTTATCAGATTTAAAGCAAGGAAATAAAATAAATCGAAAAAGCAACATTTGTGAACTTAATCCGTGTATTGATCAAGATGAAGTATTGAGAGTCGGTGGGAAATCTCCCACTGACTCGCGGTTGCGACCAGACCAGACATGAAAAATCCTATCATTATACCCGGCAACAGTCGCCTTGCTGAGTTTCTTATAAATCAGGCGCATGAAATGACATACCATGGTGGTGCTCGGCTAACATCAGCCAACCTGAGACAAAAATACTGGATCATCGGTGGCAACAGAGCTACGAAGAAGAGATTATGTCATTGCATCAAATGTAGAAGGCACGAACCAACCAAACACTATCAAATTATGGGTGATCTTCCAGCAGCTAGAGCAAACCCTTCACGCCCCTTCCATCATGTTGCTGTAGACTACACGGGCCACGTATTCATCAAAGCTAACTCAGGCCAAGGTATCAAAACTACAAAAGGTTATATCGCTGGGTTCACATGTATGGCCACAAAAGCTGTACATTTGGAGTTGGTGTCTGACCTGACGAGTATTGAATTCTTAGCAGCGTTACGGAGAATGACAGCTCGCCGTGGCAAACCTAATCAAATTCATAGCGATAATGGCACGAACTTCATATGAAGTTCCTGCTGTAGCAGGAATACGAAGAGCTCCTCAAAACTTTTGGTGATGAGTTCCTCTCAGAAGTGTCCGAGATGGGTATAAATTGGCACTTGAATGCACCTTCGTGGCCATCAGCCAATGGTCTTTGTGAAGGAGCCGTGAAAAGCCTCAAGTATCATCTAAGGAGGGTGGTTGGTGATCAAAAACTCACGTACGAGGAGTACAGTACGCTGCTATTAAATTCGAGACCACTATGTCACAGAGGAAGCTGATGATTTAAATTATTTAACCCCTTTACATTTTCTATCAAGCGGTCCGATTCTATCAATTTATGAGACGGAAAGAGATCTTAGGACTAGGTGGCACTTAACACAAAAATATTCCAAGACATTTGGAAAAGGTGGCAACAAGAATATTTAACAAACCTATCAGCCCGGAGCAAGTGGCGCCAACCTCAAGGAAATATAAAATTAAATGACATCGTACTCATCAATGATGGTAACCTTCCTCCAGGCAGGTGGGCCCTCGGTAGGGTGATCGAATTGCACCCTGGTAACGACGGCTACGTGCGTGTTGTGACGTTAAAAACAAAAAATGGTTATATGAAAAGACCTGTTATCAAACTATCAATACTCCCTATCATCTCCGAAGAAACACAAAATCAAGAATTAAAGCAAGACAAACCAATAAAGCGTAAGATAAAACAAAGGAATAGAAGATACAGTTTCATTACAGCTGCAACTTCTATTTTATTATTTTTTATGATCCTTATTACTAATATTAGCGGACTATATACAATAAATAAAGTGCAAAATAATACTAGCCTATTTTTCGACAAGATTGTAAACATGCATTTGATAGCTGACTATTATCGTTGTCTATTATGATCTCTACCCATATTGGGTAGGCACCGCCACGTCCTCGAAGTACATGGAATACCTAGAAACCATCTGTTCGAAGATAAGAGGGCATTCACACTGCGAGGGTGTCATGTATCAATTGAATTACGAGCAGTCGGAATTACGGCGCAACAATATCATGTTGCAAGATAAGGGCGACCTACTCACACGTAAGCGCAGGGGACTCATCAATGGTGTAGGTAATATCGCAAACGCGTTGTTTGGGGTGCTTGACAGCAACTTTGCTGAAAAGTATGAAAAAGATATCGACTTAATCAGAAAAAACCAAGGACACCTAGCCCAGATGTGGAAGAATCAAACTTCAGTCTTAGAAGCGGAGTTCAATGTCATCAAGAGGGTAGAGTCGATCATGGAACAGCATCATAAAACAGTCAACAAAAAGATGATCGAAATTGAACAATCGATATTATATATCTCAGATAACTCATATATCAACGAATTTACCTTGGCCGCTATAGTTACAAACAACATTTTGAACTAGTTAAAAGATATACAAACTTATCTTATTTAAACTATCACAGACGTATTGCACGGGAAGTATGGTATTCATCTCATAACCCCCAAGCAACTCCAACATGAATTAAGTGCCATCTCTACTCAGATACCTAAAGACCTATCACTTCCTACCGATCACGTGAATTATTCAAACATATACAAATTACTTAATGTAAAAGCACGCTTTTCGAAGTCCTTTCTTATTTTCGAAATCCGAATACCGTTATTAGCACGAGACGCTTACGAAGTCCTTAAAGCAATTCCCATACCTAAACAATCGGGTAGCAACATGATCAGCATTGTCCCTATTGGCGAGTATCTCGCTTTAAACTTAAACAAGGATTCGTTTATATCGCTATCATATTATACTGATTTACATGACTGCATTGATCGCGATTTAAATACTGTGTTATGTCGATTCAAGAAGCCTATTTATCATATGATCAATGACAAGAGTTTGTGTGAGAAGGATGAAGGACTTGGAAGCTGTAGAACACTCATTAACACCTGCAAAAATATTTTCATTGCAACAAGTAAACTTAATAACTACTTTTATTTCTGTTGTAATAAATGTTACTTCAAGTTGTTATGCGAAGATCAAGTTACGGCTATTCAATTGAGTGACGCAGGACTTATTACCCAGGGACTGGACTGCCTTAATAAATCAGCTGATTTCCATTTTCATGCATACAAACCAGATGCATCTCAAATCAATTTAAAGCCCGACATTGGTATACCGAAGATCGCTTCGATTAATTATTTAATAAATATCTCGATACCGGAAATGAACGCCAGCACGAGCTTGGAGACTATCAGCCAACAACAACTGCTTGCCATGCGAGAACAATTGGATGTCATGAAACAGACTGAGCCGTTAGCAGCAGGTGTATCCTATCACGACATTCACCATTACACCGTCCTCTACCTGGTGATTATAACGGCTGGAGTATTCGGAGGTTTCTACGTGTGGCGGCGCGTGCGGCGCGCGCGGAGGCGTGCAGGTCGCGATCGCGTACAAAATAAGTGTAGTGAAGTGCAGTGTAATAGTGAATTGCAATTTGTAGATGTAGAGTTGCAAACAAGTGCAGTGCAGTGTAACATTGATGACATTACCCGCGAATTAAATGAAAAATTTAAGAACTCGCGTAAACAAGAACAAAACTGTGGCACCTCACCAGTGCTTCAATCGGTGTTTACTATCACGGACACGGGTGTCTAAATATTACACTGTTATTGTCTGTATTTGTATCAAACATTTGTAACTAGTTTTAAGCCAAAATGTTTATCACCTTGTAATTAGTTTTAAATTCATCTCATCTTCATGACTCTTTATCTTTCAGCTCGGGAGCATGTACAGGCTGCAGCACGTACATTTTTGTGGCGTCGGCAGTTTACGCTATAACGCTACAATAATGCATTTTGAGTCAGTGCGAGTAATTGAGCCCAGCAATACCGGTCATGCGCGGTCGTAGTATCATTTCCCATCTATCATTAAATTGGATTTAGTTGGTTCTATCAATAAAATATCAATTATCAACTTCCCAGTATTGACTATCATTTACTATCAACTACTATCAACCGACCACGTGGGGGTACCGACGCAGCCATTACATAATTTTAGTTAGTTAGTTTTGTGAATATTAGAAACCAAAATAAATAAATTTTGATGTGTCAAACTCACATTAATCAAAAGTCTAAAATGTGTAAATTCGCTCAGTCTGTCAATACAGCGAATCTGGTTTGTAGAAGTGATAATACGACATAATTGCTTGTATGTGTGCTCCCGGCGATACCGATCCTCGTACAAAATAAGGTTGACAGCCATTCTACTGTGTATTATAGTATTCTACGGTCGTGAACCACTTCTAACACAAGCATCTTTAAGGTTATCCGGGGTGGTTAAGGGATATTAATAATATCTAATATTATTATAGCATATCTAGTATTTTTTAAATAAAAAAAGAAGCTCAGTCAATTGTAAGTGAGGCAGATATATGTAGAGTGCAATTAGTAATGTTTGTTGCAGCGTGGCGGAGCGCGGCTCTGATCGTGGGCCCGGCAAGAAGCCGCGCCGGCCCGGCCCGCACGAGCCGCTGCTGGTCGACGGAGACGCGCCGTGAGTCCACCCACCTCTATACTCATATATACAACATGCAACCAAAACCCTGTGCTTTCTATCAGAACTGTATTCATACTGTAACGCTCCCCCCCCTCGTTTAGTATATATTAAATTATTTATTTATTAATTTCCCCTTTTTAAAATAATATTATATATATATATGTGACCACGATTAATAAAATATGTTTTGATTTTTCCAAATGATCTCTCTAAAGGTCTATCTCTCTAAAAATTGCTACAAAACCAAAGATTTCAAAAGTAATATATAAGTCAATGTACCAAACACACTCATCCCAATCCGAAAGATAGACGACGCATCGCTATGCGCTACGACGTCGCCCACAAACGGTATGGGTGTGCGATGTCCACGGGAAAGCCGTATTGCTACAACAAACCCACTTACCACCAAGATGATATGTCTAGGACACATCGGTTAGCGAGTCCAAGTTTACATCGGTTTCAGTTGCTCGTGAAGCAGCATACACGCCACTATAATAATCCTTTTCAAGTCCCATTAATATTAATATAATGCTTTTACTTATTTAAGAGCTTTCACATATTTGCTTTATTTTAATAGAACTTACTATTATATGTCTTTAATATAAAGGACTTCAACCCACAATTCTAGTATTGTAATGCTTATACTTCACAGTGAGCTTCTATAGTAATGCTTTTGTATCACAGACCTTATTATTATATGTCTTTAATATAGGGGACTTCAAACCACAACTCTAGTATCGTAATGCTTATGCATCAAGGAGATCTTCTATAATAATGCTTTAGTATAATAGACCTTATTATCATAAGTCCCTAATATAGGATTAGTCATTGTGCTACTGTATTTCAATCAGTCGGTCACCCGACCACCCCATGTATATGTACGACCTTGGGTATACGTCTTCGGCAGCTCCTCTGTACAAGCCATCTATACATGAACACCCCCCTATAACTTTCTTTTATACACGAACTCCTTCCATGACAGAAAATTTTTAACCAATTTTACAATTATTTTACAAATGTTATTTATCTTTATTTTTATAATATTTTTGACTTGTATTTCCATTATTTATCATATTTTGAATACTGTTACAAGTTTTTTTTAAAAATAAATTTATATATTTTGAAAGACAAAATATTTGACTTTAATTTACTATAATACTAAATGTTTTAAATGTATTTATTTTAACTTTGTATTTCTTAATGTAATTTTATTATTTAATATATATCTTTTAAGATTATTTTTGATGCCCCCTTATATAGAAATTATTTATAAATTATTAATAACAATGACGGGCCGTCACAATACGTAAACAAATAACATTAGCTTTGCAAAAATGGACCATAAATAACTTAAATTAATTTTAAATACATTTTTATTTGCAAATCGTACGTGGGTTTACAGTTCACTATCTCTGCATTGGCCGCGGAGTTGTCAAAGATCACGCTTTACGGATCTGCGATAAAATGTTATTTCTGTGCGTTCAATTCTGATTCTGGTAACCCACATAACGGGAAACACAGGATTTTTGTCACATGTTGTATATTGCCGACAAAGAAACGTCTTGTAGCTAACGAAATTAGTCTATTAGTCTATACGACTCTTGCAGCATCATCTGACTAAGGCCTTTTTAGGCGTTTCTTGAGCTATCTAACCGCAGTCCGAGGGGGGGGGGAGTGCGGACCATCGTCTCTGACTGCTCACCTCGTGTCGGTCGATGGTCTGGGCGGTGAAAACCGCCCAGGCTAACGAAATACATATTTCTTGCGAAATATATTATAGTGATGTCGATTTTTTTATAGTAATTTTTTTATAGAATAAGGTTGACAAACGAGCACTCAGTCCATCTGATGGTAAGTGTATGTTTTGGTTAAAAATGAAAATGCAGATGCAATCTCAGCCCTGAGGACTAAAATGGGAAGCCTCGTTTCCAATGAAAAGGGTCACCGGGTCTCTACATCATACACAACAACAGCATTGAGCTGCTACTTTACGCTGTTATTCTTTGAGATCGAGGTCGAGCTGACCCATCCGTGCTGCAACCATAACGTAGCTGCAACATGGCTCTATCACGTATAAAGGTTTAATATCGCAAAAGATTACGAACACAAGTACAACAAAAAGTAAACAAATCAAAATATAGGACATAATAATATTTAAGGTTTACTTTAAAGATAAAATAAAAACGTAAGTTGATGCCGAGTTCCTATCTGTATAAGAGTTATCTTTAAAAAAATATTTCCACACCTGTAACACTTTTAAAAATAGTCCCGTGTCCAGTTTCCAGCTGTGGCGATTATGGCATACCTGTTATAAAAATAGATTTGAACTTTGAAAAACATGCTAATGTCGTTAACTGATATGGTAAAATGATTTGCAGTTTAGTTTATTTGAGCTTAAGTAATGGTTTATTTTCAGACCCACGTTGGAGGAAATTCAGAGTTGGGGCCAGTCTTTTGATCGCCTCATGCGCAGTGCAGGTAAATCTTATTTGTCTAACAGTTTTATGTTTGATACACTCTCAAATACATCTATTGATAATCAAATACATATATTGATACATTCTCCAATATATGTATTTGATATAATCTCAAATATATGCATTTGATTTTTTTTTGCGGCCGAAGCAACCCTCCGGTAACGGGGGAGGGAGGTGGAGAATGCTCATAGCATTATCCACCTCCATTATTTGGCTTATGTGGAGACTTTTATCCACTAAACTCCACCTTTTGAGATTGGCTTACCGATGTGACGAGAGATCTTTAAGCTGTAAACGGACGCGACCCTCCTTGGCAGAAAGGAGACGCATAGCCGCTTAGAAGTGTGCCTAACTAAGTCAGATTACGAGATGTGTTGAGTAGGCTCGGCCTGAGCCGCCAGGAGGCAGTTCAGGTCTGCCAAAATCTTGTTGGGGGGGGGTCCGAGAGAGAGTTTTTCGGCCTGCGTACACTATAGCGAGTGTGCAGAGGGGCTGCATAGGCAGCTGTCTCGCGAATGAGGCTATTTGAGTGGGACTCTGAGGCTTTGAAGAATCTCTCAGAGAGTGATTTGAGGAACTGCTGAATTGTAGGGAGCTCTAAGTCTCGGTGGAGGTCGGCGTTACGGACACAATAGGATGAGTTCGTAGCCCAACGACAGAAGAGATTTTGAACTATTTGAAGTTCATTTATTAAATCGGGTTTAGCATGTGCGAAAATGGGGGCCGCCTAGGTCATAACGGGTCGTATACAGACCTTATATAGGGTTCGATTGTTGCGGAGGGACATTTTACTGTGTCTGCCCAACATGCTGTAAGCCTACCTATGTAAAATCACTCGGTGCGAGTTACTTTCTTGATATGGGGCTTGAAAGTGAGCCTTGCAACAAGGGTGCCGCCTAAGTATTTAACTTTGTTTGCCATGGGACAGGGGTTCCTAACATCTTGATTGGCGGAATGGTTATGAGACGGCGTCGTTTATGTTCGAAGTAAACGGCGGAGCTCTTCTCCGGGTTTACGTCGATACGCTATTTTTGGAACCAAGCTCCTAAGTCATTAACCGACTTTTGGATTTTGTTCCGAATCTGTAGCAGTGAGTTGCCTTTAGAGTAAAGGACACAGCCCTTCTGCGAAGAGGGCTAGTTTGACACTATTCGACGGGATGGGAATGTTGTTGGTGAATAGTATGTATAGGAGGGGGGCAAGCACAGAGCTTTGAGGGACACCGGCTTTGATTTGACGAGAAGAGGATAGCGTGCCTTCGTCTCTAAAACGAACCCGACAGATGTGATGTTGGATGTTATCGCCCTGTTGCTTTGATTACTGTATTTGCGAAAGTTTTTGAAAAAGTTTTATATAAACGTTTAAATAAATATCTCGAAGATAATAAGATACTCGTAAATGAGCAAAAAGGATTTCGTAAAAATAAATCTGTAAACGCGGCAATTTATGACCTGCTCAACAAAATTATAACATGTATAGACAAAAAAAATACCTGTGGCCGCGCTATACATGGACATGACTAAGGCTTTTGACTTTGTGGATCACAAAATATTAATAAGAAAATTACATCAATATGGATTGCGAGGGACAGTTTTAGATCTTTTTGAGTCATATCTTACACACAGGACGCAGATTACTGAAATAAGGAGAATATGCCCTATAAAGTTGACAGAAAAAGGTTTATCGATCGACGCCCCGAGCTGTGTACTACGGCGTTCCACAAGGAAGCGTTTTGGGTCCACTCCTGTTTCTTTTGTACATTAATGACCTTCCATCGGTGATACAACAATCTATGGTCCTTTTTGCGGATGATTGTACGGTCGTTTATGAAGGCAATAATATCCAAAGCTATGAAATTGAGATTAACAATTCCATTGGTCTTATAATTGATTGGCTCGTAAAAAATAACTTAAATATAAATTTAGAAAAAACTAAAATCATGAAATTTAATTGGCAAAAAAGATAGTTTATCAAGTTTTAATATTAATTATAAAGGTTCACCAATCTATGAAACGATAGAAACTAAATTTTTAGGAATTATCATTGATAACCAACTGAACTGGAAGGCACAGGTCGATAGTGTTTGCAGTAAATTATATAAATTTTCATATGCCTTGTATAAGTTAAATAAAAGAGCAAATACGCAAACACTTCGTATAGCATATTTTGGATACGTTGAGTCAACACTTAGGTATGGTGTAATGTTTTGGGGAAACTCAGTGGATCGGGAAAAGGTATTCAAAGCTCAAAAAAGGTGTATTCGAGCAATCAAAAATCTACACTGGACTGAGAGCTGTAAACCACATTTTAAAGAGCTGCAAATTCTAACTTTTCCCTGTCTTTTTATCTATGAGACGGCTGTGTTTGTCCATAGAAACCTGCCACTGTTTGAAAATTTAAATAATAGAAGGTATCCTCTGAGATTAAAAGTTCGACAATCAAAGTCAGCAATAATGCGAAAAAGTATATTTTGCCTATCCATACCTATATATAATAAAATACCTAATGACATAAAGAAAATAAATAATATACAAAGCTTCAAAAAATCATTAAAAACATTATTAATTACTAAATCTTACTATTCTATTAATGAATACCTTAATGACATAGAAATTAAATGATTGTTTTGGTATACATAATAGTATAATATTTATATTTGATTTGACATACCACATATTATACATTTGACATGATATTATGATAACCCGATGACCTCAGACAAAATATTTATTTTGTCTGAGCCGATGACATTGACATTTTTGATTTTTTTTATATATATATAGTTTACTTACGTGACATTAGCTTAAGATGCAGTATTTATTGTTGACTCGTGTATTTAATAATAGTAATAATAATTTGAAAAGATGACATTTTTATTTACTTCACCTTTTTCTTTTTTTTTTCAATATAAACGTAAAGGCGCCATTACGAAATGTGTTATGTGTCATGGGTATCATTGCAAGACGCTTTTCACTTATAATATATAACATTTTTGTGAATATTTAATACCACCTACAAATATGATTATTGTATTTTTATAATTTGCAATCAATTTTAAAAGTATTCCATTTTGCTGTTATTGGCTATAACGTGAAGAAATATATTTGTACACCACACTGTGGTAGAATACACGGTACCTACTGTAAATTTTTATAACACCTAACTCACTGTATTCACAAATAAATAAATTAATTTGAATTTGAATTTGAACGAAGGCACGATCCTTCAAATAGGACGCTACGAAGCGGCTGAGATGGTCAGGGAGGCCTAAGTCATACAATTTGTAGATAAGGCCTTCATGCCAGACTCTATCGAATGCCTTGGTAATGTCGAAAAAGACCGCGATGGTCTTCTGGCGACGAGGATAAAAACCGCTGAGAATATATTCCACAATACATATTTCATATCAGTTAGATTCTCGCGCAAGCACACTCAGCGTGAGGACGTGTGTTAATTTTACCTACCTATAATACGACATTTGTAAAACAAAATGGCGCAATGTAAAAAGTGTAAGTTGTTCTTTCACTGATGAAAGACGAAGTCATTAAGTGTTTGGGGAGTTGTGATAGTGTCTATCACAAGAAGTGTGCGTCAAAACAACTGCTTAAAAAAGAGAGGTGTGAAATATGTTCCAAGAAAAATAAAGACATTCCACCTTCGCAAACATTCATTTCGCAAATTTAGATCTTAAACAGGTATCTACAGAATCCATTTTAGAAGAAGTTAATAAAAAGTTGCAAGTGATTTATAAAATAGAAGCCAAGTTGGCCAATGCTTTGGAACTCATTGATTTTTATTCTGAAAAATATCTAGAAATGGTGGAGTTCAAAGAGACAGCAGAGAAGAAGATAAAAGCGCTTGAACAAAAAAATATTTACCTTGAAAAATACAATAAGGCTTTGGAAGAAAGGCTACAAAATCTAGAATTAAAAGAAAAAGAGAAAAAGATATAGATAATAGGAATAGAGAAAAAGGAGAATAAAAATACTTTAGAAATAGTGAAAAAAAGTGTTTCAAATATTAAAATTATGCCAGGAGGATATTCTTATATTGGATATTATTAAAAGATGCGAGGAGGGTAGGTAGAGAAAAACCGAACCAGAAGAAGGCACAGCCGATTATTGTTACTTTACGCACAAAGAATGCCCGTGATCAATGGATTTCGGCTTGAAAAGTGTCTATTTCAAATGCGCAAATCCTCGGAAATAATAGCGACCAGTTAATATATAATATAAATGAAGATTTACCAAGGTATAAGCGTCAGCTTTTTTGGGAGAAAAGAATCAACTAAAATCTTATTTCAAATATATTTGGATTCAGAATACGAACACACTCGTTAAAAGAAACGACAATTAGAAAATATTCAAAATAAGTTCTGAAAGTGATATTAATAAAATGCTACCGAGAAATAAATAAAGTTTCCAAGGCCTGTGCTACGGCCGCCCGTCTCACCTATACACCAATTACCTACCGAAATCGATTTTGTAAGGTATAAGGATCTGGTACAATGGGATGAATCTCAACGTGCAAATGGAATACATATATAGCATCTAAATATACGCTCTTTAAGAACACATTTTAATGAATTGCTGGTCTTGTTAGAGCATATCAAATATAAAATACATATGATAGTACTAAGTGAGATAAATATAAAGAGAGAAGAACAAGATCTTTATAATATAAATGAATATATACCCCATGCTAATACGAGAGAAACTTCAAGAGGAGGAGGGCTACTTATTTTTATAAAGGAACAACTAAACTTTTCTTCACAAATAATCATCACCTACGTGGCATAAATAATTCATGGAAATTTAACGATCGAAAAAAGGAGTTTTCATATTCTTTGCATATATAGACCACCTGCTAAAAATAAATATGGTTTTATTGAGTACCTAAATACAATAATAAATGAAAGAATATCGCCTCAAGATGATATTATTGTCATAGGAAACATAAATATCGATATTTATAATAATGAGTGTAATCAAATTATTTCAA